GGAGTCCTTTTTTTGACACTTTGTTTTCTGTTTTGGGGGAGTTTCAGTTTTTTTTTAGCTATGGTCAAACTTTTGATCAGCTGAAAAAATCATGTTTGAGTGTAAATGCAGTTTTCAGAAAATTCCCTGCTCAAAAGTTCTTGTCTCTTGCACTGATTTCTTCTTTTAACATTGTGAAGCTCTACTTAGAACCTTCTTAAGATCCAATAGTGCAAAATGCAAATTCTTGCACTTTTTTGACTGGTCTTCTTCGAAGACGTCTTTTCCCAGGAGCTCGGCGCGGGGTGTCTGAGGAGCTATGAAAGGTCTGTGCGAAAACGAACGCCGAACAATCACATGACGGCGCGTCGACCGGTCAGCTGCCGAGCGACCATACWGCCTGTTTTACAGTGAATGAACCTCAAAGAGGTGTGATAAACAGTGTCAATCATTTGAAGACATTTAGCAGATGTTTTCATGTACAAAATATYAGAATCAGGTTCATTGCGAAGCATGTTTACACACAACGAATAAAAGGAAAATTAAAGCATTTCAAAAATCAAACTTGTGCCTTGAATTTATGTTCTTTATAATTTAATGTCCTTTGATTAGTTTATTAACATGACAGTAACACAATATTTAGCTTACAAATTAAATGAATATATATATATATAGTCTTCAGTCATTGCTGTACAAGATTATTATTAACAAAATTAATTAAATGTGCATTATTATAAATCAGAATTATAARCATTATTAGGGAGGGGTTAATCCAGGCCTGTATTTATTAAGGCTCAGGCTGTCCAATAGGGACAGACCTACCAACCAATCACAAGTGACAGATGAGGGGGGAGGGCTTTTGTTTTATCCAATGACTGAGGAGTAAGGGGGGGTCTTCTACTGCTGCTCTTGCCTGTGGTGCTGCTATTCATATGGTAGGTAGAGTCGTTCACACCTCCGCCAGCCGGGGCCCCGTGGCCCCAACCCCCCGCTGCTTCTAAGGGTACRTTTCTGACAGTTTTCGGCACAGGAAAATGCGAACGTGTGGAGCTGTAAACTGACGCAAATTAGTGATATTCACGGCAGTTTACAGGGACAAAAATCTGACTTTTCATGCAGTGTTAGGAGTCATTGGAAATAACTGATTTGTTTTCTGTGTGGATTCTCATGTGTGTGTTCAAACTGCCCTTGTGGCTAAACCTTTGATCACACAGCTCACAACAAAATGGTTTCTGTCCGGTGTGGATTCTCATGTGTATATTTAAACTGCCCTTTTGTCTAAACCTTCGATTACACAGCTCGCAACAAAATGGTTTTTGTCCTGTGTGGATTCTCATGTGCACTTTCAAACTGCTCTTTTGACCAAACCTTTTGTCACACAGTTCACAACAAAATGGTTTTTGTCCTGTGTGGGTTCTCATGTGTATGTTCAAACCACTCTTTTCAGTAAACCTTCGATCACACAGCTCACAACCAAATGGTTTCTCTCCTGTGTGGATTCTCATATGCACATTTAAATGTTCCTTTCTGCGAAACCTTTGATCACACAGCTCACAACAAAATGGCTTCTGTCCTGTGTGGATTCTCATATGTAAGTTCAAATGTTCCTTTCGTCTATACCTTCGATCACACAGCTCACAACAAAATGGCTTCTGCCCTGTGTGGATTCTCATGTGTCTGTTTAATGTGCCCTTTTCAGAAAATCTTCGATCACACAGCTCACAACAAAATGGCTTCTGCCCTGTGTGGATTTGCATGTGCATGTTTAAATGATCCTTTCGGCTAAACCTTTGATCACACAGCTCACAACAAAAGGTTTTCTGTCCTGTGTGGGTTTTCATGTGCGTATTTAAATTAGTTTTTTGGGTAAACCTTTGATCACACAACTCACAGGAAAATGGCTTCTGTCCTGTGTGGATTCTCATGTGTTTGTTTAAACAGCCCTTTTCAACAAAACTTCGACCACACAGCTCACAACAAAATGTCTTTTGTCCTGWGTGGATTCTCATGTGTGTGTTTAAATGTCCTTTTTGTCTAAACCGTCTCCCACATAAATCACAACAATGCAGCTTCTGTTCATTTTTGTTGTTTTTTACATCTGTTTCAGGAACCCTGCTGGGAGAAGACTCCCAGTCTTTATCTGTGTCTCCAGTTTTTGACCTGGAGTCTTC